GTTGGTTAACCAACCTGTATAATGCGTCACAAGCAACGTGATTAATTAATGTTCAACTAATGCTTTCATTATACACAACAGAGACGCATTGGTGTAGAAATAGGCACACATTGAGACTTGAAACGTATAGCGGTTTGTCGCGCGTCGTCCTTGCTCTGACGCGGTAAACACGTAAACAAATTGATGATAATTAGTTATTAACTACAGTATTGTTACAGTCATCAAACTAATATTGTTACACCCACTTCGACGGAAAATCTTAGACCGGGAGTAGTTAAAAAATAGTACCTAACGCAGATTTCAGAAGCTCTTACCAGAAACAGAATCAGATCGTAATGTTGGCTAAGATCTATGATTGACGAAAAGCGTCACCAGAGTCGAGGAGAGACGGTCAGCTTTGACTCTCTCCCCGATAGATATAAACAGAGTGGCTACTATTTTGGTATTTTTAATATTCTGATGCTAATATGCCACATTTCAATACACAGATGATCATTTGTGTGTTCATATGCTGAATCTACAAAATGCACTCGATACCCTTTAAATTCACATCGATCACGAAGCGAAAACAAAGTTAAATTAATACAAATAAAAATTACGAACGTATGGCCCATATTAAAACTTTCAGTTATTGACACAAAACTTGTTTACGGCCGGTGCCGGAGCGCATGACGGTATGCAATCAGAACGTAATGCACGCAACATGTTGTGCATACACAGATACATATACCAGGTGTTGCTTTTGCGACATTCAATAAACCTGGGATCTGTTCTTAAAGTTTTTTTTGTCTCGATAAACGGGAATACTTACATCGGCCTGAATGAAAACGGACATAACTCGCAAATTTTCATAAATGCTCTATTCATTCTTTCCATTAATTTAGTCTTTTTATCACATCTGGACGGAGCTTATTTAGCATAGAGTACAAATGTTGAGAGACATTATGTTGTGTAAATAGATTTGAAAAATGTAAATTTTCGCTATCGCTGTTGGGACTTAAAAAAGCGACCCATTATGCCACCATTCTAACATTTGAGCCAGTGCTGCCCAGCCCAGTGGCTGCTGCTACTAACAATAATATAGAAAAATAAGACATGTACATGACGATATAGATCGGTGCGAAGTGACATAGCTTTCGACAATGTCACGTACAACAGTGAATTTATTAAGGAAGAAAGAGTCCGCGCAGTAAAACGTAGTAGCCATCGCGTGGCAACTTTCGCCCGACCCCCCTCCCCTCCGCTCCCCCGCAGCGCACCGCTTGTGCCGCCGTCGTCACTTTTAATTGTCTCATTTACTACGTCATTACGAATACTCTAGAGTTTGCTACGGATTTAGGGTTGCCAAGCTGATTTTTAATGCAAACTGTTGGATTCGGAAAACAAAGAAAAATTAATGCAAAGCAATGATAATGTCACTTATTTAGCGGAAATCATTACACCGCGAACTTTTCGGGTTCGAATCCCTATTAAATCAAACTTATACCAGTTCACCGTCCACGTTTCTGGCACTGCATCGAGATTTTGCTCCGATGCTAAAACGGAGTGTGCGTACACAATTGCTTCGTGCGCAAATGCTCAATGAATTACAACATCTTGTGTTGGTAACATCTCAGACTCTGAGACGATGCGTTATATACATATTGATAACCATCTATATTACTTCGAGAATTATTTATATTATATTATACTACTGATATTACTTCGAGAATTATTAAATAATGTCAATAATTAAAATTGATTAAAAACGCACAAAAAATAGTACACGAAATACATTATTACATTATTCTAAGTCCGATACTGTCATAGCTGGTTAAATAAAAATTTAACGAAGTTATATACGAGTAGGGACACGGAATTCCAGAGAACAAAAGAAAAATGCAGGTATGTTGATATTATCGATATATACTCCTTAGAATTGGAGGAATACGCAGTAGGTAAAATTAAATAATTTAGTATCGAAAGTAATAATCTCAAATTGAATAACATCAGCGAATGGTGATACTTTAACGAACTAAAGTTAAAGTTATTACTCCCGATACTTATACTTTTATCATTTTGTTTATATGTGTTATTTATACGTTGATGCAACATTTTCAACAGCCGTAAGGTTGCAGAAGCGTTGCCACCGTATAATAAAGTGGGCCCGGCAACCTCACTCTCCAAACAAAAAGGCGAAAGTATAACACTTCCATTTGACGCCAGTCTTCAATCATGGAACCCGGACGGACCTGCCCATTCGTGCAAAAGCAAAGACTTTTGGCCTGGTCCTACCACTGTAATAGATTTAACAATTCCTTAGCATTCAAATATATTATCATAAATTCGAGTTACGATTTAAATTAAATTGTTTAGACATGAAAAAAAATGTGGGACGTCAATATTTATAACTGGATTTTATGGACTAAAGTCAATTTTTATACCCAACATTTACCTTGCTAAATATATAATGAAACAAACAACAAGATTGCCTAACCCTTTTAAATGACTTTGAGAAGGCATTGAATCGATTCGCAATGAACTTGAACGCGCGGGAACTTTATCGGCGAACATTTATTTCTACAAATAAAAATATTATCAATCACGAGAAAAAGGCAAAGGAGTGGGCTGTAAATATGATAATATTTTTTTTAATATTAATTTTCAAATAATTGATAACAAATTCTTACAAAATTTCACATTTAGGACTGATAGCTCGGCGTTGACCTGTTCTTTGTTTTTGTGGAGAGCTAATGTAGTATTAAATAAACTTTATTTTGAGGAAGAAACTGATATGATTTTAATACATTAATTTATTTATTTATTTTTATCACGGGGTGTCCTACGAACTGGCAACACTGAGCGTTTTAAATGTCGAAACGGAAACGGAATACGGATGCCTGCTCTATTTATCATCACGCACGCTCGCCGGCCACAAACGTGACTTACTCATTAGCTCGCATTTGGCAAATTGCATTAGGCTCTCTCCACACATTTTCAATGCTCTTTATCATTTAAACCAAATTTATCAGTCAGAGCAAGTTGAGCAATTTAAATTTATTGATTATTTCATATGTTTATTTATAACACAAATTTAGTAAAATCAATAAAACTAAATTCATACAGCCATGCACACTATTTCAATTCTTAGTTTTCTTAGGCTTGCTCACAGATATTCCTTAATTTACTTTGTGTAGTCACAATGTCAAATTAGAGTGAGTAATCATGAAAGGCAAATATGTCCCTGTATAATAAAGATAAATGTCAAAGTGTTTACATATGTGTATACAGTATAAGCAATTTGAGTCATTTCTTATAATAGTCATACAGAATGCTAATAGTAACAGCTAGTAAATTCAATGCACCATATTATCAACAATGATAACATACATTTATTCAGGTCAATATCTACTGATAACCGGCTACAACTTCTTAATGTAATCAGTTCTTATAGCAAACTGTGTAACACTCTAGCTGTTCATATAAAGTGCTAATTTGCTACAAATTCAAAAATTAACGCTCCAGCATAATATTATACATTCAAGTCCATATGAGCAATAGAAACAAGTATTTATTACTCATAATTATCTAAAAGATAAAGTAGTATCAAGTACAGTATGAGTAAAATAATATTGGAAATATATATTTGATCATATCAAATCAATATATCAATTTTGTTTGCAGTGTAACACATGGTAATAAATAAATATCCTCAAATGCCATGGTAAAATGCTATAAAATGGATATGTCCTTTAAATTAAATTTTGTTTAAAAAAATATCAATATTAAAAAAATAACATGCAATACTTCGTCAGAAGCAAGCTCGAGTATTGTTCGGTTGTATGGAATCCAAATTACCAGGTTCATAAAGACCGTATCGAGTCTATTCAGAGACGTTTTACTTTCTTCTATTTAACTGGGTCAGGAAAACGCGTGCCTTATCCTGAGCGACTTAAGAATTTTAACCTTATGAAGTTATCTGACAGGCGCACAATACAAGACATGTTATTCTTGTATAAGCTGTTGAACAATTTACTTGATAACCCAGAGTTACTTAGTCGTATTTCCCTTGACGTTCCTTCCCGTTTGCCGCGCCAACCAAAATCTATCCTCACTCATAAAACATACAAATCTAACCTGGGTCACCATGCTATAATTCCTAGATTGTGCAGACTATTAAAATTTTTTACAAATAAAGATAGTTCAATAGATATTTTTCATGACAAATTATCAGTATTTAAATCGAAAATTGTCAGGGTACTGAATCCAATTAGCGCCGTAGAAGTCTAACATTCGGTCTTATGTGTACATATTTATGTCGCAGCACTTTTATAATATCTAAGTATGTAATAGTTTTGTTATTATATTTTAAGTAGCATTGTAGTGTTAGTTATATTGTTTCCTTGTTTTTTTTTCTTCTAGTTTTTCTTATATTGGTTTATAATACTGTTTAAGCACCTTTACTCTGTGTATGCAGTGTCTGTCTGTAATTGAAATTGCATGTTGTTCTCAACCTGAGTTTATGTTCATCTTGTATGCTATTTCTAAAAACATGTAATTTTGTAGATAGACCTTAATAAATAAATAAATACTTAACAAGAATAGGTAATTATTTGAGATAATTAAAATACATGCTGTTCAATATTTCAATCCTGATACAAAACTTTAAAATTCAATTCTAAGCTAGAAATTATAATAATTTCTGACATACTTTAATGGTCACAGGTTAGATTAGCAGATGAAAAGTGGTATAGTTGTATAACAAAAGTTAGTCAAAAATTGATTATTGAATATAAGAAATTAATTTTCTTGTTTTTACATGAATATTATACCTTGTTAAATTAAACTATTTTACGTATTAATTCACGTTTAATTAGCTTGCTCAAGGACAGACTGTCCCATGACCTCGAGCAATGTATAAATCATAATATCAAATGAAAAACCATGAAAGCTGGAAAGGGTTTAGGTTCCATGTATAAGAACTTCAATAAAAAGAAAACTGAGTTTAAAACCCACAATCATATCCCTGCCTCTGACATAAAAAATATATGAAATGCATTAAATTAAACATATGATGGCTTCTTGCTAAATAAATACCAACAATTGTAATTGAACCAATAACAAAAGAAAAGGACACTTACCCTTTATCAGAGGCTCTGTGACAACATTAACATCTTCCTGAGGAATCATATCCATTAGTCTTGCTATATCTGTTGCCAGCATATGGTCCACAACTTCAAGTAATTTCGGTTTCAGTGGGTGGAACTTGGTGAAATCATGATTAGCAAGAGTTTCTTGCATTTTCTTAATATCAGGGAAATCACCAGGTGATATCTGTTGTTCCCTTTGAATGCGATCATACACCTGTCCTAGGTTCTTTATTAAATCCTTTTTCTTACCATCCTTGCCAAACATTGAAGGCATTTCTTTCCTTAATTCACTAACAATATATGCATGAACTTTGGCAAGCCGTGCCCTCTTAATCAAGTCATTTAATTTACGTAATGCAGCATTTCGTGGAAGGGACTGCATATCTCTGAAAAGATCCTGTTCTTCATCTTCAAATAAACGTCTATTGACATCATACCTAAGAGGTTGATCCCAGAAAGAGCCAATGTAGACACGGGCCACCTCAGGGGTTTGCAATACTTTCCCCAGTGACCACATAAGTGCACCATACACACGCATAAGCTGTTGATGATCAATCATGTCAGCTTTGTTTAAGACAATTCGAATTTTGTCATCATGACCTCTTAGTGCCTCAATACTTCTCCTAAACTCATCAGAAATGTCGAGTTTATGAGCATCGAATAGCAAAATAATGCGATCAACTCGTTCTGCAAACCATTCAAGAACTCCCGTGAAATCATAGCCGCGGTCAACACGCTGCTTCTCTCCAGAGAGAATACCGGGAGTATCGACGATAGAAATGCCTCGGAGCACGTCGGATGCGACAGTGGAACACTGAAACCTATTTAGGAAGGCGTTGCCGAACTTGCTTAGAGGGCGGAACTGTTTTTTTGGATCGACGACAAGTGCATTACCTGGTATCACACCTTCTTTCTCATCGTACATAACTGCAATGAACCGGTCAGTAGTAGGCTCGGGCCCAATTCTGATACCCGGAAAATCTCGCTCAAGGAGGTATTTGATGAAGGTCGTTTTGCCGGTTGAATACTGACCGACCAACAGTATCATCGGTTTTGCATCAAAATCAGGTTCCTCCAGCTGAGGCGAATGGAAATCATGGAACTGATAATGCAATTCAAGGGGTAATAGTTTAGTTTTGTAAATTCTTTTAAGCCCTTCGACGACATTGTCGATACTTTCCGTTTTTTCACCTTCCTTCTTTAGCCAGCTAAACATTTTAGCGGATATATGTTGACTATCTAATTGTTAAGTTATTTAGTAACTGTTTTGCACAAATTCACTCACTGCACCACTTTAAACAGAAACTTAGGCAAATAACAGCGAGACCACCACGATCATTCTCCTCATATGAAATGAAATGAATGACGTGTGTGACGTGAATAAAGCGATGTTACCACTTTAAAGGTTCTTAAGAAGCATATTTTGGCAATTAAAGCCCCTTTAGAACTAAAATATTACCAATATTGTTGAAAAATCAAAACCACTCCTTAGTTTTGCAAAGGAGTATAACGTAAGATTTATGCGTTACTTGGAGGTGTTGATAATTTATTGACTAGTAGGAGTAATTTATTATTTTTGAAGATATTGAAGAATCTAAAGAAATCCTAATGCGATCGATGGATGAATTTGTATTTCAAATTCTGGATAACTTACGGAACACAGATTAATACATTATGAGCTTTAGCTTACTTTACTACACTGGAATTTGCAAACGGCTGTTTATGATTGACCTCTTGCCGTGAATGATGAATGTGATAATTAAAAACTGAAATGTCAAAATAAAAAAATGCGCGGTTTTCCTACGAGAATATTGCTTTTTAAACAATAAATATCTATTCGGAAAATGACTATTTTTCATGACGAAATAGAAATAGAAGATTTCGATTATGATGAAGAAGAGGAAATGTACTATTATCCTTGTCCATGTGGTGACAGATTTCAAATTAGTAAGGTTAGGGTTTACTGTTGTTGTGTCATGCTTTTGCTTTTATAAATAATAAGTTGGCTCTTAGTTTAAATTGCGGTTTTCACTATTTAAAAACACATTTCCTCATTATTTACATTTTACACCTCCACTTTATTAAACCAATGTGAGCCATTACAGCATTATTAGAATGGAATATATACATTTATTAAATTTTTAATAGGAAAAGGAGTCTAGAACATTAAGCATGTACATATTCGATTTATTTCAAATAATTGTGTAAATATAAAATTTAATGATTCAACTATAAATAAATAGGTTGTAATTTACAATAAGACAATTTTTTTTATCAATGTAGAAACAGCCGAAACAATAACTACAAAGTAGAGATGTAAGCCGACATTTAGATTTAGAGAAAAAAAATAATTTAATCGTGTTCTGGCTGTTAAATGTACAAACTGATGTTTGAAATAAATAAATGTAGAACCTAGTATATATCTTGATTCATGAATAATGCTTTAAATCACTGTTTTCTCCATCAAATTAGAAACTTAAAAAGAGGGAACTCGCTCTCAAAATTATTGACAAAAATTAATTTCGTTAGCATTGTAATGGTTGATTTCCTTAGCATTGCACCATTCAAATATTTATTTTTTTCAAATTATTTTTTTTTGTTATTATTATTTTGGTTACATTTATCTATCAATTAAAATAATTTGTAAATGTATAACTTTGATTATCATATGGTAAATAATTACCAATAAATTTATCGCACTCGAACTTAACTATATTTAGTTTTGTAATCAAATTTTTTTTGTAGGAGGAACTCATCGCTGGAGAAGAGGTAGCAACTTGTCCAAGTTGTTCACTTGTAGTGAAAGTTATATATGATCTGGTAAGTAATTACTGTAACATCAATTCTTTTTGGTTTGATGATATCCAAGACAGTTATATATAATTATCATAGCTCCACATTAAACCATCCCTATTCAGTGGCAAATGTTTAAGATGGTAACTCTTGTATACAGGGGGAAGTGATTTCTTTAAGAAATGGATTGAAATTATCAACAATCAAATTACATAATTTCAGCCACTGGATTTAGAAAATTATATGCTTATAAAATGTAAGCATATAATTTTCTAACCCTATTAATTCATATTAGTTATTGAGTTTGCTTTTGAAATTTTTAATTTGCGGTTCAAATTAAAGATGATTCAAATTCCAGGAAAAATTTAAAGCAGAGTCAGAAGAGCTGCACACTGAAGAGGGTGACAAAGAAGCAGTGAAGGTTTAAGATCACCAGAATTGATGATTTTTATATGGGCAAATATCCTATGGTGCCATCTGATTTCATCAAAATGGAATACACTTGATTACCACCAAGTAGCACCTTGACTACAATACATGGTCTTGTGGTGATATAAATGTAAATAAACAAATTTATGTGTACATAATTTATTTTACAGTAACATAATTGTTAATACAACAGTGATTTTACAATTTGTTTTATTCATTGAAGCATTGGTAGTTTCCATAAAAAATTATATTCAATACATATATTTATTTTTTATTTAACTTAAGAACAACAATTATTTTTATATGTTGTTTTAAACTAATTACATAAAATAAATTTATATAAGTAATAGTGTAATTTACAACAATGTTGTTTGACTAGCTAATTCATACACCTAATTCACACAACTACACAACATTCAGGACTAATTGTCAAGCTACGGTGTTATATATTGTCATGTCAAGTATACCACATTATATAAAAGTAGGGGTAAAAATCACTTATAAGGAGTGATGTTAATGCATCCATTCAATGTTTAAAGGAATGTAAGGCTATGGTATTATAACATATAGGTATAAAGCAACATACATTCTAAAAATAATAAACACCATGAAATTTTATATGAACACTGTAGCCTTATTACATTATGGAAGGATATATTGAGCTATAATAACACCATAAAAGAGATTTTGAATGTAAACAAAATTTGGTTACCTATATTATAGAATAATAACTATTAAGTTCATAGCCATTTTGTATATAGAGTTATTTAAACAAACACTATCTGAACACTAAGCATGAAAGATTTATTGATCAAATTTTTAAATTAGCCAAATGGTGAGACGGCTATAAGCTGTTTCTGTTTTTTATTAAAATTTGGTTCTAGTTTTTACTAGTTGTACCAAACCAAGTAACAGGTATTTTTTACCTACTTTAAACAAAAAAAGATATTAAATCCCCACAAGGACAAATAAAAATAATACAAGTCTTCCCAAATCACTAATATAAGAATAATAACATACAAAGTATATATTATAATTATTTAAAGTCATAAAATATTATGTCTTAATAAAAACATTAATCAATATTTAAATTAATATCCAAATAATATTTATAGTAGAAAAAAATAAACCTTCAGTCCTGATCAAATACTGATTAAATTTTACTCTAAAACTCTAAAGCTTAAATGAAACATCACAAAAATTACGATTAACTTTGGTTTAAAAAGCATAATAAGAAATTTTTTGTAAATTTTTTCATGTTAGTTTCTAAAGGCAAGTTTTTCATTCTTATATGTCATTATTTCATGTGCAAAAGCAAATCTTAAAATAAAGTGCATATTATAATTTATCTACTTATTGTTACAAGAATTAATCAAAATCCTAGGGTACCAATTAGTTTTGGCATCCAAAACATGAATAATGTAACAAAGCATTTTATATTATTGTTCTTTTTTTTTTTTTTGGAAATTATGATCCAACATATCAATAGAATGCTTCTTATATACTGACTAAATTTTATATTTATACTATAGTGTCAAGAGTAAGGAAATGGAAATGCCATTGCATATATCAATCTAGTATAGACAGACATCAGTCTTTTTGACACTTATATAAATGAATTTAAATTACAAAAAGTTTCCAAATCTAGATTCTAAGCCTTAGTGACTTTATTCATACAATGTTGCAGTTGAATTAAATAAGTTATGTAGCCATCTTAAGACTAACATAAGCAAGATATTTCATGTCACAATCAAAAACAAAAAAACAACACCATATTTTCTGGCAGAAGATTAATTTCACATGAAGCTCAAAGTTCAATTTTTTTCCTTCTGTGTCCCCTCCCTTGACAAATTGTATCTATTATTGCCTTGTGTCTATTTGTGGAATGTACTTTCATAAAGTTAATTTGAGCTTTCAAAATGTTTCGATAATTGCAAACATGAGTTGTCCCGAGGGCCGCCAAGTCGGGGTGCGATGACTTAAGAAAGGAGCTGTGCGCCGCCCTATGAGGGCGGGGGCGGTGGCAGGGGCGCGGCGGTGGGGGCGAGGGCGGCGGCGGGGGCGGGGGCGGGGGCGGGGGGCGAGGCGGCCGCGTGGGCGGCGTGCTGCGGCAGCCCGGGCACGCTGAAGTGGCGCACCGCCGCCTCCAGCGCCACGTTGTTGCCGCTGAAGTACGCCGACACGGCGTTGTGGAACAACAGCAGCTGCTTGTTCATCACTTTCACCTGGAAACATAATTAGACTTATAATAATTTTTTATCACAAATGGAAGAAAGCAGAGGCGCATTTGGTTTTCATTGTTACAGAAAGCTTTAATATTTTATTCTTTGTATAACATTACGTTGGACATCACAACAGCCAATGGCATATATTACAATCTTAGGCGGGCCCTTGAGTCCATAGTGGACTTCAATAGGCTATAATAATAGAACAAGGATGTTGTGTTGGCATAACATTTACGATCTGCCCTGATTGGGAGTGTGAATTTGAAGAAGAGCACCGACCCTGTTCTCGTGGAGCAACTGCAGCTTGACGGCGGAGTCGTCGCGCAACCGCTCGTAGTGGCGTCGGTGCCGCTCGATGCTGGCCAGCAGCAGCTCGGGCGGGTTGCCGCCACTGGCCTCCAACTCGCTACGGTACGCGTCGTACTCCACTCTGCATAGAGCAATAGTTTAAGTGAACTCATATGAATAGTATAACATGAGGAGATAACTAGCATTTCTTTTAAAAATTCTAATAAACATGAATATGGCTGTGGTTTTTGGACTTCCTGCAATGTTTTTCTTTGAAGACGCTTGTTAATGTTTTTGGAACATCTTTATAGTTTACTTTCTTCAAAATAAACAGCAACTTATGTACTTACAGCATTTAAAGAAAATTAAAAAATTACACCAGTATGACAATCACTTTCAATTGGCCATGGAAAAGAGTAAAAAAATATATTTTCAAAGAGATAGATTTTTCATGCAAAAATAGGAAAAATTAATTTACCTGGCAGCTTCGTACTGGCGAATGGTGAGTAGAGTATCCTCAATAGTTTTATTGGTAAGTGTGTTGAGAGAGTTATTAAAGAAATGCAGTGCTGCGAGCAAAACCTCTCCATTACGAGTTAAAGACCGCTGTGTGTCGGCATTATATAAAAACCTGCAAATGAAGTGAAAAAAACAAATATTTGCATCAGTCTATACTTTTTATTCTGGGAATTGTGACTCCCTATCAAATGAGTTGTGTAAATTTGAAATATCTGTTTAGCATTTTGTGTTTAGCAGTTTAGTATTTTATGAAGTTAGATAAATGTGGGTAATATTCCTAAAAAATTGAGCAATCTAAAATTTTTAATTAGGATTGTGATGATATGGTTAGTAAAGTAATAAAAAATTTTGATAAATTTCAGTGTCAAAGTTACAGTTAAGATACATAATTTATGTAATTCAGACTTGATGCAAGTTAAATCTTCTATTTCATACTTTAAAAAATAGTATATAATAATATTTCCTTTTCTCAGATATCTTCAAAAATTTTTGGAAATTCCAAAAGCAAAATATTTCAGAAAATACCCAGTTAGTGCCTAACTCATTCGCCAAAAGTCAGCAGTAACAAATTGTGCATTATCATCCTTAAAAGCAGGAGTATGGCAGCCTACAGTTACTTCACCCAAGAGGGATGTCATCAAAAAAACTAAATTCCTCCTTCATGTACTAAATTCTTCCTGTGAGGCCACACTATACTTCACCGGACAAGAAGCATTAGTAACCAGAACCTAAAATGAATGCTAACAGATTGTAATACAGACTGGTTCTGCAGCTCTGGTGACTTCTGTGCCAGATCGGCGAAAGCATCGCCGAGCGCACGTTGCGTGTGGGCAGCAGCAGTCAGTTGGCTGGCCAGAGCACTGCTTAGACGCAGGATACCATTGTACTTGCGCTGGGTTTCACGGAGCATTTCTATCTTTGCTTCTAAATCTACAAACAAAATACATCAAGCTCTTGTTTGAATTTTAAATAAAATAAAAAGATATAAAACAATGTCACTATGCAATATAAAGGTAAAAATTATATATTTATATAATGCTTAATTAAACCACCTGTGTCCACTGTTCTGGAGCTCTTGCCTAGTTTCTCATACAACAATTGCTTTGTGCACTTGTATGTTGAAACTCCCCAGTTCTTAAGTGATTCAAGTTTAGTAGACCCTGAGCGCAGGAGTGTGCTTGAACCAGCAGCACCATTTTGAGAGATATCTGGGGGTGCTATACAAAAATCATAGTTCAAAATGATTATAGTTTAAATAATAAAAAATATTTTAATGTGAATTTTTGTACAAAATTTATACTACTATATTTTAATTAAGGTACCACTACGAGACATAGGTAAAATCTAACATTTTGTCCACAAAAATTCACACTTTAAGTTTCAAGTTGAGGGCAGACAGACCCTTAAAAAAAATAAGTTAAGTTACAAATTCGAAATTTTTCAATCTATATTTTATAATAAAAAAAATTAAATTGTACAATTAAAAAAAGTGCATTTAAAATATTTTAGTCCTCATTTGATTTACCATAGCTTGGAGGAAATGGCATAGAACGTGATGTAGGAAACTTAGCTTCCGTTCCGGAGGTGATAGAGTCGCTAGACTCACGCAACGGCGGCGTATCTTTTAACATTTCATGTATGCTTCGCTCAGATTGCCTGAAAACAAAAATCACCATAATAATATGTATTCATTCCCCAATAAGCAAGAATTTCAAGGAATAGAAACAATTAGTATTATTACGGTTTGTAGGTAATTGTTTAATATTGTATAAAACATTATATACTTACCACTTGGACATTTTAACAGAATTTAATTTAACCACACTACTACAAAAATATATTTGTACATAAACTTATAATAGGGTTAAATTATTTCATGAAAAGAAGCATTTTATCATAATATTTATTTTAATGTAGATAGAAAAGTAGTTGCGGCAATCAACAAAAATTATGAATCACAGTTTCACTTCACAGTTCTCGTAAACGTCATTTAGACTAGAATTTGTAACATGATGACATGAGACTTTTTTCCAAGATAAATTACGGTTGTTGACTTACAGCCTAGATTAGCTAAGGTTAGGACTTTATTCGTGGGGTTCTGTGTGCGCTACTACAACAAAATTCCTGATGATATTATAAATCTACCGGACAAAAAGTTCAAATTTATTGTAAAGCCGACACTGTTTAAAAAAGCTTATTATAAGTTAGATGATTATTTAAATGACAAAGAGGCTTGGTGTTCCGATACTCCAGCACGGCATGAGAGACATATATTATAAGACAAATTATAAGACGTCGAAAAACGATTTGAAAAAATCTTACTTGGAATAAATGATTTTGATTTTGATATAATTAACTCAATTTTTTTAATTGTACCTATTTTCACAATTAACTTTTAGTTTAGTTTGATAGTACAAAAAATTCTTAATACCATATTCGAGCTATTGCTTGTTTTGGATTATGTGCTAATTACCCTCTGTATATAGGAGGCCTTTGCCAAAGTAACAGTATGTATTTCCTACTGCCACGAGAGATATGATTTTTTTTTTACTTTACCACCGCCCATGTGCATTTACATCACTTTAGGGGTAACAGAAGCATTGCCAAACTTTAAAAATATTGGGCATCGGGGCCCTTATCCTAAACTTGACACTTACTAAACGAAATGCACATGTATAGAACTTTTACTTGACGCTGGTCTTCTATGATGGTTCTATTCATGGTTTTTCCCCGTATGAGCCTGCTTATTCGTGTAAAGGCGGAAAATCTTACGTAACCTATACATATTTCATCGGCCATTCGACTGTCCTATTTGAAAGTGTAGCTTGGGGTAAGTGCGGCGGCTTTGACAGTTTCTTCAAAAAATATTACATTGTTTATGATGTCAGCTATCTAGATCTCACCGAGGAGCTGCTTGATAAGTTAGAACGTATTCAAAATTTTTGCATAAGATTCATATTTGGCTTGCGCAAATATGATCATATCTCACATTTCCGTGCTAAGCTAAAGTGGCTGCCTATTCGTTTTCGCCGGAATTCTCACATACTTTATCTTGTTTACAACATTCTGTTTAATCCCTCTTATCCCACCTATCTAAAGGAACGTTTCCAATTTCTTTGTGATTCCCACTCTAAGTCTCTGAGATCATCAGAAAACTTGGAGCTGAAAATTCCTACGAACAAAAAAAAGTTTATGAGTAGGTCATTTATGGTGCAAGGGGCGCGACTCTGGAATGACTTACCACTAGAAGTAAGGCGTGCTCAGTCATTAAATATTTTCAAGAATCTTGTAAAAAATCATTACTTATCTCTATAACGTTATTCCCTAACAATGATATATGTATTCGTTTATATGGCATGTATATATTTATATGTATGTATTGATGTGTATATGTATGTATATGTGTATTTGTATGTATATATTTTGTTAGCCTTTTGTATATACATTTATTTATTTACTTACATATTTATAAATATCTTATTATTATGAATTATGATTGTAGATAAGTATTTTTCTTTTTCATTCATTTAGTTAACCCACACCTTTATTCCTAAATTATTTCTTTTTCAATCCATCCAAAGGTTGCCTGGAAGAAATTACTCTTAGTAATAAGGCCGCCCATTGTACCAATTACTTCTACATTAAGTTTTAATTTTTGTTTGTTTTATTTTTGGTGTGCAATAAAGTATATTCATTCATTCATTCATTCATTTATCTGTGCACGGACGTAGAAGCGGCCCACTAATTCGGGTATCACAACACACCAGCTTATGTTCGTCAATACTCTTGGACGCTAGTCGGTCGGAGTCTTTCTCGATACAGAGAAACCTTTCAACTGCGTAGACACTTGTTGCAACGCACCAGGGTTTGGGATCGCGCGCTGAATGTTCAATTACGCGGACAATGGGGCACATCCTCAACTACAAGGGTTCGTCCTACTGCATGCGCGTTCACTTGAATGGCAAGCGCTCCCATAAGAGATATTGCTCCTACCTTGTCTCGTTTGAACCTAGTGGTGGTGATGGCGGGGTAGCGGGTTATTATTTAGAGCATTATATATGAGAGAAATATACACTGTTTCGAAGCGTAGTAGTATTTAGTAAAGAGTTAATATTTTCTTTTATTTAACCGAATATTTAAGACAATTGAAATTGAAACAATATATTAGTAATACAACCTGCTTAATATCTGCACAAGACATTTTTTAACAGAGTATAAAATATGTACCTACTGTGACCATGAATGCTGAGTGTAGCCATGTATACGCGTAAACAGAACATATTTTTTGTTATGGTTTTTAAATTAGAGTGTATAGGTCAAAAGTAAATAATAAAAGTAGTTGTTATACAAACATTTTAATACACTGACATAATAGTAAATTAATATAATAAAATAATGTACACAGTGTACCATTTGTATATTTATATTTATTAATAATATAATTTTAGTTTAAAGATTGCAGTAACAGCCTATACATGTCCCACTGCTGGGCAAAGGCCTCCTCTATATAGAGGGTATCAGGGCATAGTCCACCACGCGGCCCCACTGCAGGTTTCCTCACGATGTTTTCCTTCCCGCAGAGCACGTGATAAGTCAGCACTTAAAGTTAAAAACAGGTGCCGGCACCGGGGATCGAACTCAGGTTGCTCGAGTATATTGAATTAAAGGCGAGCGCCCGGACACTGAGCTATCACGGCTCATAATTAAACAAAATAATGTACATAGTGTACCATTCGTATATTTATATTTAATAATAATATAATTTTAGTTTAAACATTGCATATTTATCATATTTATGACTTTCATAACTTATATCATTTTCTACAAATATATGTAATAACACAAATTATAATTTATGGTAATGTTAGAGAGAGAGAGAGTTTACATACATATATTTATTTAATGAGATGCTTGAAATTTCTTTTAGTGTACAAACTTACAAACATAATTTATACATTTATGACAACACTTACACTAGGTATGTTAAGTACCTTTACTTATGATTTAGTTACATTTAAGACTAGTTTTCACGATCGGTAGGTACTCGCGTGACTACAACGTACAATTTTCAATATTAAAACATTCTAAATTGTGCCTGCTAAACCTTAAAACTTCCAACTTCCGATTTCATCTTACGTCACTTTTCGCCTTTTTTGAATTAATCGTAAATGATTGCGCGTTCCTATAATTGTTGCTCTAATTATAAAACGAAATTCAAGAGCCAGTTATAGCAGGAGCAAATTACACCATATTTACTTTTTTAGCATTTCTTGCTCGATTATTTACAGCACTTTTGGTGATGGTTCTTATTATCTCAGTTCTTCTTAGATGTCATGTCCGTAATCATATCCAACCAGATCAATTGCATGAAGAATCACTCTCTTTTACGACAAAAGAAGTGAACTAGTTTTTGCTTTGACAGGGGTTGGTCACGTTCTCTTTAGTATTTGTCAGAAGGGTTCGGGGGTTTGTGCTTGGGGCCGTTGGGTGCCGTGGGCCGCGGCCGCCGTCAGTCGAGGCGCACCAGGGTGGCGCACGGCGTGGCGCGCAGCGGCTTCAGCTCGGCACCTGAGCTGTCGCTCACCACCACCGTCTCTTGCGGGCAGCACGACGTCTTCATCGACTCGGTCGATGTCTTGTGACTCTGTGCCGGGTAACGAGTGCGTTTTCATTGACATTTATAACAAATTGTTCAAAAACATTTCAGGTAGGTATATTTTTAATCGAAAAATATTGTAAACTTTAATGGGTAAGAATATTGATGAGATATAAGTAGATAATTTAGTCGCACTTTTTTTTCTTTGATAAATAAGTGAATAGAAATTTTAAATTGTTTATAGTGCTAATCTTTGCACTTAAGATTGAACATTAAAATATGTAGAAAAAGTGCGAAAAGATTGTCGCCGCTGTGGGAATCGAACCCACGTCTTCGGCATTGCTTCAAATGTGTGCACATGTTTTGTGTAAAATTAGGATATGTTTTGCATCACTTAGATCACTTTATAAAATTAGAAATTTCATTGATGAAAAATTACGTTTACAGTTATGTAATACTTTAGTCTTATCAAACTTGGGCTATTGTGATATTGTATATGGTCCTTGTCTATTCCAAAAAACTATAATAGCTATACAGCGGGTTCAGAATGCTTGCATGCGTTATTGTTGCTCGATACCTAAACGACACCATGTGTTACCATATATAAATCAGAGGGGTTTGTTAAAAATGGATAACAGGAGACGCTTGAGACTGGCTTGCTTTCTGCATTCATTATTAAAATTCAAAGCACCAGCTTATTTATATAATAAATTGATATTACATTGTTTATGATGATTGCTGGTCAAAAGACTTCTCGCGGTTCAATCCAAGGCTGAAAGCCCCTCCGCTTATCCTACAAAAACACACTCTTGTGCAAACTCGGGGCAGTTTTAAGTTTGCTGCGTCTAAATGTTGGAATGACTTGCCCCCTCCACTTCGTAACAGCTACTCCTTAAGTGCCTTCAAAATAAAATGTCGAAAATGGCTTTTGATGCAGCAATTATTGGCTTCGAGTACCCAGTCTTTTAAATATAATAGTAAATAGTTATTAATTGGATAGCAATATTAATATAAATAGTTAATGTACAATATTTTAGGAAGTACCTATGATAAAGCGTGTTCTTTATGTAAATTATGTCTGGCTAGGACAGAATATCAAAGTTGGTGTACCTTCCGTGCTACAACTTTGAGTCCTTGACCATTTTATCTAAATAATTGTTATTTTTTTTCTATTTATGTTACTCTTTAAATATTTTGTGCAGTGTTTGTATATTTAGACAAGTAAACGATTATTATCATTATTATTAAAAATGCTAAGAAAACAATGTAGAAGAATGCGTTAAGATATTCGTCGGTGTGGCAATCAGCCGTTTAGCTCAGTGGCTAGAGCGTCAGGCCGCGAATGCCGAAGACGTGGGTTCGATTCCCACAGCGGCGACAATCTTTTCGCACTTTTTCTACATATTTTACAATAAGTGAATATTTTATTACAGGTGAACAATTTCTCCGTAACGCATCGTTCAATCACAGTCATTTTATATCGTCTTCATTCGTTGGGACTCTTCCAAGGCAATACACTCGTGTAGGCACTCTATCAAGAAAGGCGACTTCCTACTTTATATCTAACTAGAAATTCTCGGGCGAGACTGGCATGAAAAATAGCATCTCATCTATCGAAACAGGTGTAACATAATAAAACAAACAGCTAGGACTTAGCCAGTCAAACTCCCCACCCCAATCTCATAGATTATGTCAGAGCTGGCTCCGTATGCCATCAGAGAGCTAAAGAAAATGATAAACGTGGAGTATGAAAGTATTTTGCATGAAATGATAATTTTGTGAGGGAGATCCGGCTCAGTGAAATATTTCTTTACTTACCCGCTTGAAACAATGCGTGAGGGAGTGGCAGAAGGCCGAGGGCGAGAGACGGCGTCGCTGTCGCATTAGGACGTACAGAACTGGGTCCAGGACGTAGTTGAGCAGCATCAGGACGTCGGAGAGCGCGGCCAGGGTGCTCAGCCGCTGCCACGACGACTCGCCCAGTGCCAAGTACAGCGCTGAGGTCACCTGAACCATTTAATTGAATATTTCATAATAATTTCTTGTAATAACACGGTTACACGTTACTAAATTAAACTATGTTTATTGATTGATTGTGTTGACCAGTTATTAGATTATTATTTTTTTATGTCTATCTACTCAAAAATGAAATGGAACATAATTTAATGTGATTAAATCAATAAACATACACCTGGCTATGCTTAGTGTGGAGTGGCAATAATTAACGACGCAGTTATTTTATCGAGGATTAATAGACAGTAACCATTTTGTGCCACATTAGTAACGCAAGTAACAATTAAAATATTTTTTGGCAGCCTGTAAGTACTAGATATTTTGCAATATACATTAAAATATACTTTTAGTCTGTTTTTAGTTAAATGTCAACATAAGAACACGTGAAAGAACTTTGTAGTGATCCCGCGCTTGTCTCGGGGTCTTGTCTCGGGGTTCAGAGAACAAATACTATCGACATCGAAGAAAGAAAATAATAAGGAAGATGGTGTTAGTTATTGATATAATGAATAGGGGAACAGGTGTTTTTGTTAGGTGGTGTACGAAATTAGTTGTTGGGCGGTAAGTCGATGTAATTGAAACTGGGGCAATTAATTAGAACCGCCGCACGACATCAATGATACCAACCCTCTTAATTGATCAATTCCTTGAACACCTACCTTTCTAACGGAACTCGCAGAGTTGACCAACATTGGTTTCAATTTAAGTCCCTATTGGTTTATGAGTGATTATCAATTTCACGCTTAACGTCAATTGCTTCACGGGGGCAATCATATTTTGTTTTTTATTTAAGGATCTTAGAGACAATGACGTACTAACATGTTGATCCTGTAATCATTGTACTGTTTGAACTTTTCGTTTCTGATTAAAGCTTGAATTGTATTTGTATTTTAAAGCTCTTTATCAAGGAGCAGTTTAGGTGAGTAATGAAGCAGCAAATGCATTTAACCAGAACAGAGCGCAGGTTTTCGTTAATCTACAAAAGCGAATTTTGCGGTACTGCTATACAGTGGGCAATGAATTCGGCGTAATTAATGTCACATTAAACAACATTACAGATACAAAGTGTATTGTTTCTTCAATAAGTTTTTGACGCAATATAATAAATAAATATTTGAGTCTAGCTGTAGTTGTTGCAGTCGTAGTTATTGCGTCATAAATTGCAATTAATGTTAACTACAATTTATGCAGTCAAAAGAAGTAATAACTATTATGAAAAATAATGATGTGAATCTCATATACGTCATATATCTACAAGTTTCTGTCTATTTCGCTTGCTATTTCGCTCGTTCTTTACCCACCTCCGACACACATACCTATTTACAATATGGACTTTTAAGAAAAATTGGCCCTAAAATTAATGTGTTCATGTCTTCTAAAATGCATTCATCTATTTGGTATCAGCAAGCTGATTATGGTTACTCATCATTCTAAAGTAAGTACCAGAAGTAATATTAAAATCAAATAAGACAAATGAAAAAAACAAGACCAACAGATGAATGGCAGTATTAAGTGGAGTGAATCGCTGGTGCAGTCGATAAGCAAAGGCACTTGATGTCTGATCAATTGTGCGATTGCATACGCGACCTACATTTTCATACCCATCGATCAATTGTGTCCGATTTAAATCCATGTATTCTTCCTTTTAAGGATATATAACGCAATATAAAATATGCATTAGGACATTACATACTTGTTGTTTTTCTTTACAATAATCTAAAGTTTGCTTGCTTTGATAGATTACGATAATTATAATCACATACAAACACATGTCAAATCCATTGCAACGAATCTTAAAAATAGTCATAATTTTAATATTTTAATAATTGATGAAGTAAAAACCAATCTAAACAATAACAGTATCGTTGTGTTAGCTAGTACAGTTTTTTAATCTTTGTACTGTTTGCTACAGCAAAATTTAATTAATCCTGGCACAAAAATGGTTGTCCATTTAAATGTTCATAAATTTACATACTTGTGTACTAACTACTCTTATTTTTTCGGTATCGGCAGGATATAAGTCAGACATGGTATGTCTGCGCTTTAGGTAGAGTTTATCACCCTTTAGTACACCCTGATTGTTTTACGGAGGCATTTCCTAGTGCTGCCCCTACCAGGTCCAGAAAGTGGAAGATCAGCGCACCATTTTGATCATCCATGAACCCTGAGTTTTAAAGTCGGGTTTCACGATACATAAGGGCAAGGGATACTTTAGCCTTATATTGTAGTAGGGCCACGTAACCTCGGCCTCACAGAAGACCGTCGTGAAGTGGAATTTAAATTTGTGAGGTAACCGCGGCTCACTTTAAAAAAAATGGCAATGTATTTGCAACCCGTCAGGTGTTGGACCTAGGTGTCCATGAGCTTAACATCAGATCGACATTTGCACATCATAAAAAAGCGTATGAGCCCTACACTAAAAGGTTGACGGTGCAGCACGCCTGTGTCGGTTGGTCCAAAGACTTCGTTTCTGAGCGGGGCGGCTCTTTAACGAATCCATCTCGTCCCGTGCTCTATATTTAGTAATTCCTACTAAATATAGAGCAAAGGACTGACAGGAACGAAAGTGAAAGAATGAATGTGTACGTCATTAAAGAAGAGTTGAACGAATTGTAAACTAGACATGTATAGGTCATTGATATTGTTAGTGCTTCTGTTCAACATTAGTGTGCAACGGCGGACCCGCTCTGCTTCCCCGTTCCCAATAATGTTGCGATTCCCTTCATTCGACGCCCAAAATCTGCGGCAATGGAAATCGATAGGGTATCTTTCGAGGCGTGTGGGGCAACACAATGAGACTACGCGTACGCGTTGGGCCCGATTAGGGCAGTGCTCGTCGCGCAGTCGAGTCAGGCCCGAGCGTTTGTTCTATAAATATCGATCGATGAATCGCTGTTTGCGAATGTTCCTTAGATTTTCAATTCGAACGCCATTTATTGAAACAATGAAATATTTTCGCCGGTATGCGCGCCGCGCTTAGCATGCCAAGTACGATCGCGGGGCTCACGCTAAGCTGGTTGTCCGATACCGCGACAGTTGCGGTAGAGCGCTGATGCGATCTGTAGTACTTGGCCGGTCTCCGCTGATCGCAACACACAGGCGAGAGGCAATGCGTTGAATTCTGATTGGCAGTGATTGGTCCTCCGTGCAAAAGCGCTTTAGCAATCTCCGTTTGCTACATTCCGATGCGACGAGGCAAGGGTGCCGCTGCTTGGTAATAAATACGTATATTTGTAAGTGTAAATGATTGTGGGAACAAAATAGGAATAGTTATTTGATATAATCAAGCAATTAGAAGAGTATTGTCGTCGCGCGTTTTTATTGGATGTATCGGTAAATGACAAAATAAATTGTAAATACAAAGTAAATAAGATTATGATACTATCGGCGGAACATAACTAAGCATTAATGCAGCAGGAAAGATTATGATAGATTAAGTAAAATGGCCATGCGATCTTTTCAACGCCTTTTTGTAATATATGAGGTATATTGTCTCTGGATGGATGCAGGTGGCAGAGGATTGTGATTCTTGGCAGTCTGTGGGGGGCCTTTGTTCAGCAATGGAATCTAACAGGGTGAAATAATAATGATGAGGATGATGATATTTTCTCTCATATGAGGACTATTTTCATATTTAAAAAGTTGCTATAATACCTTAATTACTTAATATTGTTGGGTTGGATAAGCATTCGATGTCTAAATTGATTTTGATTATTGTTGTTTACGACAATTTGTACTTCTGGTGGCTTATATCGTCTTCAAGATATTTAGGGGTGTAAAACGTCTACATCGTTTTGGATTTATTGAAATTAATGAAATTAAAATTAGAACGTTCACTCTACCAGACTAATGTTAAACGACTAACTAATCAAAAATAGCTTGTATTTTTTATGTGAGAAGATATCGAGCGAACAGGCGGTTCGCTTGTTGTTAAGTGATAACCGCCGTCCGTAGGATTGCAGATGCGTTGCCATCATGTTGCCACCAGATGAAACGCAGAAGTATAACACTTCTGCGTCACGCCGCTCTATTGTTAGGTCATCGTACTTTCCCGGACGGACTTGCCCATTTGTACAACAGCGAAGACTGTTGCATGGCCCTACCACAGTTAAAATTTTAATAATTCGACATCGAATTCCGTGTTCGCATTTGAATAATATTCCATTCGATCGCTATCATCATCGGCTCAAGGCCGCGGGGCAGCGAAGTGTCGCCTTCTGCCCCGGCGCAAACAACGTCCGACCTCCGCTGAATACAAATCGCGCATTGGACCCCTTAATGGTCGATAGTGATCTATTGCAGATGCGGTTCGCGTGCGAAAATCGCCAGGCGCTAATCTCATTACAATAACGACAGATCATTGACGGAAGGCGATATTGGCGCGTGAATGGAGACGTCTCTAACGTAATGTTCCGTACACTTATTATTCTATTGAGTCCACAGCGGCAATAAACATCGCTACCGCATATGTCCACGTACGTATATGTATATTTAAGTGATAAAGGCAACGTAGTTCCATCAAATTACACCTACGCGACGCTACGACGACGATGGGCGGGCCCCGGTGGCTAATAAGTACAATTCCTAATTGAGACATAAAACGTTGTTTGCTTTTTACATGCAATGTACTTCAACTAGACGAGCCGTAATACAATCAAGTGTTATGACAAATAGCATCGTATATGATAATTATTGTCGTGACTTTATATTAAGTATTACCTAGGAATAAAAACAAATAATAACTGGGAACATAGCTCTAAAGAAAAAATTTACAAACTTAGTCTCATACACATATATCGTGGATCAGGTTAACCTATCGGAGAAGTTCTAGACTACTTAACTACCTTTAAGCTTTTGCATCGCGAAACATGAGTTTAATTTCTCAACGAGACTACTATTTCAAGCGCAGGTGAGATCGTTCTGCCACTGTTGAAAGTAAGTGAAAAAAACTTACTATCACATATTTAGGATAACGGTAAAAACTGTTTTAATTTGGCAAAGCTATTATATTCCTGGTTAGTGTCAGGTTATTTGCTGGTTGGTATTCTTCTACATCGCATTTTTAGTTTACATTTTAATGCCCCACTGCTAGATGTTAAGAAAACACTTGAGAAGAAACGGTACTAAAGTGTCCGTTCTCGGGCCATATCTATAATTGGCGCGCGTGTACATGAGAGAGAGAGAGAGGTAACCTCACCATTTGCGGCAGCCAGCAGATCATGAAGAGGACGGAGAGGGTGGCCATGAGGCGGCTGAAGGCCACCTCCTCGGCCGTGGCGGCGTTGTGGGGCGCGGGCAGGGTGGCCGCGCGGCCGGCCGCCCGTCGGCAGCTGCTGCGAGAGACCCTCCTCACCGCGCCCCCGCCCAGGGTGATCGCGTACAGCGCCCTGATCACCGCCAGGTTGCAGTACACCAGCACCGCGCACAGCAGCGTGCCTGCACACGGCGGAACACTCTCGAATGATGATCGATCGGCTGGGAGCGTGGAATTTGCTGACACATTTACTGAGCTTAAGACCATACCGATTTCCCACAAATGTCAACCTACAGAATGAGTATTGGTTCCTTGTGTAAGCTTTAAAAAGACTCTAGTTACATGAATGGGTCATCTTGACCGCGTAAGTTCTTTGGTCTTTTAAAAAACATCGTATGGAAGTATTTATATTTTTGGAAGTATTTTATTTAAATGACGAAGTAGAGAAGAAGAACATGTATATGACTGACCGAAGAAGACGTAGAAGACGGCGTACGCGAAGTCTACGGTGGTGACCGCGTTGCGGTATCTGATGCAGCAGTGGTTCGCCTCGTCGTAGTAGAGCCCCAGGCCGAGGACCGGGGCGCACGTGAGCGCCGCAGCCCACAGCCACGACACCAGCAGCGCAGTGCGTATCACGTAGTACGTCACTTGCTGCCAACGGAACATCCAATACTCGTAACTTTAACCTGCTCTTCTCCTATGCTAGAATATTGGGATGTTTTAATATTGGTGGGAAATAACATCTTAGGTGGAGTGGGTACAATATGTGAATTATGTGGTTTTGGCTAGGTTCTTTACGGCCAGCTTGACTGAAGTGCATCCTTCTCGGGAACAAATACACAGATCCTGAAAAATCAAATCTGTGGGTCACAAAAATAGTCTTGAGTGGTAATCGAACCTACCCCCCTGCCGTAGTCATGAGCTTAGCAACTTCGCAATCGAGTCAACAAGCAATTTTTATACAACAATAATAATAAATTCAAACTCTCAATGATAAAGTATTATATAAATTATTAGGCAAACGCTTTAGAACTGCATAATTCGGCCGGTTAATGCGATCCGGCCTTGACGGAATTTGTAAACAAGCTTTATAACTGGCAGGAAAGGGAAGTGCGCAGTTCGTTGCAGCCGTAACCCATCATGTTGTGACTGGTTATGCCTTTTATATTGCATCTTTTCAACCTTTTATCATATAAAGTATGATTTATCAGCTTATATAAAACGGATGATTTTCCACGATATGAAAATTTTCCGGTACTATTACTTCGTAAATGCGACCGCCATTACGAAAATAATTTAAATCCGTTCAGCTGTTACGTTTTACGTGCGATTTTATTTAAACAATTCGAATGTTAAATGTTAAGAAGATTAATAAAAAGATCTGATAAGAGTTCTTAACCTGTGATTGGCGATAAAAGGCATTCATTACACTCCCCTAGATAATTATCCAAAATTCAATTAAAACTAAGTTGCAATAACAGGAAACAATTCCGGTAGCTGTCACGAGTGAAAGATTAATATAATTATTATGCGAGAAGCGGTTGCCGAGGGTCACGAACATCCTCCTTTACATTAAGTTACATAGAGCTATTTAAAATGTAATATTTTCCATCTTTCGATAGTAGTTAGATGTATGTTAGACGCTTGATTTTATTACGCGGCACCACTCACATTTTATATAACTAAATTTCGATTTCGGTTAATGAGATTTGTTTTCCGTAAACCGTACTTATTTTAAATTTGATATTTATGTGTATACTCTGAAATCTAAACCGTCATGGATGTCGTAACTCTTCAGGTTGCGACGTAGACCGGCTGCTGGGATGTCCCACAATGTACCGAAAATAGCCCATATGTAGTTAGCCAACTGAGTAAATGCTAATGGAATTTCATCATTATCTACCCAAACGCTGTGGTTATAGCCAATAAAAATCAATTACACTGGACATTTGTTCTTCACGCTTCATATATCTAAATATTTTAAAAGTTTGTTATTTAGTGTTGAATTCATCCATTTTATTTTGAAAGAAAGAAAGAAAAAGAAAGAAGAATCTTTTATTCACGGTCTAATCACAATAGATACATACAAAACATAGAAAATAATGTAACTACACATAATATTGAAAAAATTTAAAATAGATGTAAACATAACAAAAAAAATAAGCGTAGGACTCAGTGAAAATCAAGATACAGAAACTAAAATTCGTTCTGTTCCCGACACTGGTTTTCAGTTTTTACTGGTTTTAAAAAAGTAATGACTTTTAAGCAATTTCTAATTTCCAAATGATGACATGGTAATTGTATCGCATTAAAATATTACAGAAAAATCGTCAGTAATGTTGAATCAAGATCGCCAATGTCTCTTCTAATAATTTCCGTAATTTAGCACAGCTTAGTAAGTTTCGGGTGGTGCTCTTGGGTCAAGATCAATGTCGGAGCTATGCTCGGTTAGTGGACCGTTTGAAGCGATTGGCCTCGGCCGTTTCTTCAATGTCTTCTTTTTTCTGCATGAAAAGTTCTCATTACGCCTAGGACAAGTTGTTATCATAAGATTTTTTGCCCATATTCCAAGATATTATGTCAAACTTCTTAGATTACGTATGCAGTATGAACACAATGCATTATGAGTCATGCATAATGAGTCATTTAACATTTATACAAATTCTCCGTGTGACCAAATAACTACTCTCGTTAGCAAGATAATATCACCGTTAATCTGAGAAAAGAATTGCTATGGTATTCGCGAGCGAATTTCGTAATATCATTGGAAAAAGTTACAATTAGTTTTGATTAGATTAGATCTTTAAAACACCCATTTATTCCACAAACACTCATTGAGCTATAATTTTGTATTTTAAAGTCATTGGGCTATAATTTTCTATTTTAAAGTATAAACTAATCACGATATCGAACTACAAATAGTTTCTTCTTCGTTCAACGTCACTCTATCTCTCTTAGTTTCAAGGTATTTTAAATGGAAGAATATGCAATAGTCATTGCTTGTAAGAGTTATCAATTAACTTACATTGACCCATTAACGGGCTGCTGACGCTGATCAATGCATACAGCTCGACTGAATTATGTATACAGCGAGATGTTAGAAGGAATTATGGAGGTCAGTGTAAAAATAGTGTAGTTTTTAAATGGATATTTCTCTTTGTATAAAACTTTAATAATGGTACTAGCCATATTCGATTTTGCACCCTTAGTATTAAATTGCTGCCAGCAATCATCTGCAAGTCGTAACCTGTTGGAGAACTACCCTACGCCTAAACGTGGTTTCCACAAAAGAATTCATAATGTAACCAACCCACTGCCATTTCAGCTGATTAGTCCAGGGTTCTATGCCCGCTCTTTCTCTCTTATCGGATCACCTCATTATATCTTGGATTATCTCTCAGAGAAAATAGGTATTTCTCTCCATGGCTCGCTGATGTAGGGCGCACTGGTTGAAAACCTTTGGGAGTCTTAAGGGATTGCGAAATTGACGACGTATAGACTTGACTTTTGATTATATTTCAAAGATTGTATATGCCGGAGGTCGTATATTAGTCGCAAGTATTTGTGTCACCCATATAATTCAGATACTTGTTATTAATCTGGGCGTTTATTACCAGGTAGTGGGTACGAACCCCACATAACCCTGTCATGTGTAGGCAGGGTATCTTTTGAAGATTTCCCTCCCGATAACAAAAAAAAGGGTTAAAGACAGACGGTTTGTCGTAAAAAATCTATCCAACACCACACTCAAGTACAAATTTACTCGATGGTATCTTTTTTAAATTTATTATATTTGATTTCGTCCATTAAATTCTTTATTGTATAAATATGCTTTTAAGATGTTAAAACTAGCAAGGAAAGCGATTTTCAGCAGAGTCTCATTATAGATTTAAAAGTACTACAACAATTATAGACTAATCTGATCTCGTAGGAGAAAATTAAACGCAGTTTTAATTGAATTTTAATAAACTAGTCAGAGTACTGACGAGAATTTTAAAGTGTGAAAGAAGCTTATGACTTAAGAAAGCGAGGATGTGTTGTTAGTGGAGAATGTGCAAATGGTTTGTTGTGGTTGCAAATATGCGGTGAGGAATTCCTGCAACATTGTTCCGGGATATAACGGCGCGCAGGATGTTGGCTGCGCACGCACGCGTGGACGCTGAGGAAGCACGGATTTATAAACATTACCCACGTGTATGGGAGATATAGTTACTAATAATTAATGGTAAATGTTAGTAAAACCACAAAGAATTGGCTTGTGTTTATAACTCAAACGACAAAGGTATCCCTTCTTAATGAAACTTTACGGATGTTGTCGCGTTTTATTTTATATTTTAACCGTATATTTTGCGAATTTTTGTAGCGTACATAGTGATGGAAAGTTATGAGGTACCTATACGTCCTGATTTCATTATTAACGCTGAGTTCCATTAGTCTGAAAATTATTAATATTAAATCGAAATACACCGAATGGACTAAGATACAGGTATTTTAAATTCTTAAAGTATATTTTAGTACAGTATCCTAAACAGGTGGTGAAATTTGTATGTCTTTGTGTCCTTCTCGAGAAAATTATATTTAAAACGCTATAAAATTTAGAGTCGTATTAAAGTGCCCGCGTAAATTAAGAGAATACGAATAAGAAGCTACTGTAAATTACTATAAATTATTGTATTAACCAACATAATCTAAATTGATGTTCAATAATTTATTGTACACATTTAAAATAGGTTGAAAATTAGCAGCACATTCCGTTTTACTGGATTATGTCTTCATTGCCAAAGTTCTGTCTTATCAAATTTGAAATAACGTCAATTTTTGTTAGTCTAGAGTTAGAGTAGATTCTTATTTCGGGACTTTCTATTTATGGAGCAGAGCAATAGCGAGCATTTTCTAGCCTGACAATAGCTACCGATTGAGCTGAGGTCCGGCCCTCTCGGGCACCCTCAAAGCTACCCGATGATGCAATAAGTAATAGTTTTGGTATTGGGTGGGATATATTCAAAAGATAATTTGACTTCTAGAGGGATGAAGTTATGCGAGACTAAAACGGTGGTCACGAATATATTTTAATATTTTAAAGGGACTCCGGGATCTCCAATGTATCGCATCGGTGCCCTTCGGCATGGATGGCGCCTGAGTTCATCCAGTGAGGCAGATACCATATTGCCCCGGGTTCACTTCATTTGATAATCAGGGTTGGGATTCACCCTGATTACCTCTGTTACAGAACCCAAAATCACGAAGCCCATGATAGAGATAACTTTTTTAAACAAAATGTTGTTTCAGTTCGAAACGGGGACTTGATTGGAATTGACTGATGACTCCAGAAGACATGACGGCGTCGCGGGTCGTGGGTTCGATTGAGCACGGGTTGAGGTTGACAGGGGTTGTCCCGTGTGGGAATCGAACCCACAGATATATGACATTTGTGCGACCCACAGATAGTTGCTTCGCATCTGGGTGTTTGTCCACGTGAAATTTATGTATTTAAAACGTCCTTGTAACACAGGATAGTGTTAACCTAAAATAAGGGCAATGTTAAAAAAAAAAAATTGCTAACAGAAATAACACTGAATCCCTCTCAGCGCCCAGACACAAATTAAACGCAAATCTTAGTAATCCCGTCAGCGTCTTGTCTTCGACGGTTA